TTATTCTGTTATTTTGGTTTTATATTGATTGTTTTCCAACATGCCTTACAGGCTTCATAGTAACAATTTTTGTTTTGGTTCTTCCTCCTAATGAGGTCCAGCTTTTGGGTGCTGTTATAAGCCTTTCCTTCTTGGTTGGCAGTTTGTTTTGTTTCTTGCTTGGTCTGCTCCCTTTGCTGCTTTGTAGCCTGTTGCTTTTTTAGGCTGTGGCTGGTTGTTTCTAATTGCTGCATTCTAACTTGGATTGCTCTCCCTGTGTTCGTTCTCTTTGTTTGGTGTTGAATGATGCATTATTTATTTACCAGAAACAAAATAGCATGTAGTTTTCTTTTCAGCTGACCTTATATGCAGATATATAGCTTTTAAAAAATTCTAATTAATGGGCATAACTTGTCATCATTTTCTTTTTTTATTTGGTTCAGATGAAAGTATAATTTGATGTTAAATTTTAGCATATATGATTCTTAATGCCAATTTTATGTCTGGGAAATTTTAAATAAGAGAGAAATGATGATGATAGCTGTGGTGTTGACAGTGATGTTATGATAAAGAGTATATATAGTGGTATGATTTAACTAAATAAGATATGTAATAGCCAGATTGGTCAACTCTGTTTCTTTTTTCTTTTCTATTTTATCAACACAACTCTGTTTCTTTTTCAGTTGGCCAACAAATGCACAATTCAATAGAGTTTTTCTATTTAAACCCCGCACTTCTCTTTGTTCATCATATATTCTAAGTTCACCCTAACTTCTAATTCAAATTTTCACAATTTCTAAGAAAACCCCACTATCTTTCCAAACTACCTCTAAATACACACCCATCAGAAAAATAAAGAGATAAAAATACGGTTGCCAGAAAAATAAAAATGACAGCTGATGAAAATGGGGGAGATTTATTTGTTGTGAGGTCAATAGAAGAGACAATCTTGCACAAGGAAGAGCCCAGGGAGCTCAAAGTTTCTGAATTGGCTCCAGAAGAGTTGAATGTTGGTGAAAGAAGAAATCAAAGAAACCTTTGAAACAGTGTCTAAAGCTGATTCTCAAAGCACTGACGTAGTTTCCAAAGATGAGATCATTGCTTATTAGATAGTCCATGAAGGGATATCAAAAGAGCAACTTCAAATACCATCTTCTAGATTGCTTCCTGAAGAAAAGGAGATCAAAGCTTCTTAACATGAGCATAAAAATACTAGGGTTAAGTATTAAGTTGGATGACTTTTTTGTCTTTTTACACAATATAAAACTTAAGAGTTTAATAATTTAAGTATGGGGTGAACAAAGAAATTGTGGGGTTTAAATAAAAAAACTCATTCAATATGGCCTTGTTGATCAAGTGTTCAATTTAAAATTGGATTGTTTTATTGAAATTTTCCTGAGGAAATTTAGAGCATGTTACAGGAATTACTGCAAAATTATTAATTTACACATCCAGAAAAGGGAGAGAGAGAGAGAGAGAGATAGGAGCTCAATCATAATCTGGCAATGTCTCTAGTACAAAATGGAAAAGTTAGGCCATCTCAATTTGGCCAGCAGCATGTCTACTTTTGGCTGATGACTCAATATCATATCCATACCTAGAATTTTCAAGCTTTTCACCTTGACCCCAGATGGCATAAGCTTCTTCCCCATGAGCTGCTTCATCACCGATCTCCATATCCGCATCGGACATTCTTAGAGGCACGATGAATTGGATCAAAACACATATAAGGCTGGTAACTAGAACATTTAGTATGACAACGTAAAATATCCCAAGAAGTTGAATTCCCAGTTGACGAAACCCGGTATGGACAACTCCCATTTTAAAACCATAGAATAGGCCAACATACTGTCCATATGAGGTAGTGAACAGGAAGCAGAGCCTTGGATGGGCAAAGAGACCGGTGAGGATTCCACCAAGGGCGCCGGCGATGGCATGAGTGTGCAGAACAGCCATTGTGTCATCAACTTTTTGAAGGAGCGCAGATTTCTTGTGGACAACCATCATGGTGAACCAAGGAATTGAGCCAGAAAATAGCCCCATTAGTATGGCTGCCCATCCTTGCACAACTCCTGCATGAGATTGAAAGTGCAACAAAGGATATCATTAATATATCTATCATTCTTCTCCTTTTTTCTGATATAGAAGTCACACATTTAAACTTTTAATTTGGTATTGTAGATTAATCATGCATTTTCTTCCATGCCACTAAAATTAGGGACAATGGCCTTTAGTAATTGGTACTAATTTTTTATATGCTTAGACGTGTGCTAGTTTTGTAGCTTTGTGAACTTACCAGCAGCTGGGGTGATGCAAACCAAACCAGTGATCATGCCTTGAACTGCCCCGATGACCGAAGGCTTGCGGAAAAAAATGAGGTCAAGCATGAGCCAAGTGAGCAAACTGGTAGCAGTGCATACATGAGTATTCAAGACAGCCAAGGAAGCATCAACACTGACTACATAAGGGTCTCCTCCATTGAACCCTGTCCAGCCCATCCAGAGCAGTCCTGCACCAGTCAACATAAGAAGAATGTTGTTGGGAGGGAATCTTTCCCTGTCCTTGTTGGAACGAGGACCAACCTGCATCATCGAATTAGATTCCACATGATCATCATATTTTCCAGCAAATGTAGAAATGAACTGAAACTTTTTTTTATACAATGGTGTTATGTGAAACATAAGGGAGACTTCAAACTTGAAGAGAAAGTAATTTTGCTACATAATGTTCTTCATATAACAGATTAGCAACTGAAAGAAAGAAAACCAAGATGAATGAGGAAGAAGGTTTTTCCTACCCAATAGGCTGCTGTGAAACCAGCAACTCCAGAAGACAAATGGATCACAAACCCACCAGAATAATCTATCAGTCCTTTCTTGAAGAGGAAACCGTTAGGACTCCAGATACTAAATGCTCCAATGGTGTACGAAAAGGTCAACCACAAAGGCACAAACAGCATCCAAGCATAAAAGTTCATCCTACCCAAGAGGGCCCCAGCAATCAAAATCAAAGTAATTGCTGCAAACACAAATTGGAAATACACCATTGTAGCATTTGGGAACTTCCCACTAAATGCCTGCTCCAGTAGATAATTTTGGTTCAATGCCACATCAGCTCTCCCCCAAAATGGAACTGCCTTAATCAGAGTTTCCCCAAATGACATATGATATCCCCACCCAACCCAACAAACAAGAACACAAGCAAATGCATAGAGTGCCATGAAAGCTGAATTCACAGCCCATTTCTTCTTCACTGCACCACCGTATAGGATTATGAGCCCCGGGACACTCTGGAGGCCAACCAGCGTCGCGGCTGTCAGCTGCCACGCGTTGTCAGCTTTGTTCATCCAGTCCGGATTAGCAGGATCCGGTAGGAGGTTGCTAGGCAGAGGTGGATAGGTGCTATTGCTCATTTTGCTTTCCTTTTCTCACTCCAAAATTTATGTGCCACACCCTAACACTACACAAAATGTGCTCTAGATCAAGCTATGTGGTGAAACTTGTGGATTTAGCACCTATCAAGTTGTGCTTTTATGTTAGAGGATTGGGGTTTTGTTTCTCACGAAAAGCTGTCACTGTGATGTATAATCTTTGGTTTCATTTGAACTCATAATTTGATTTGTTGTTGCTAAACAATGTGTTCTTTTTCTGTCTTAGGTGCCCAACTGCTACATGCAGTTTTGGACATTTGGCGGGCATTCCAACCGCTGTTAACGGTATTTCCAAGGATGCCTTTCAGCCGTTTTGGTCTCCCTCTCCCAATCACAAAGTAGAGCACATCATAGCTAGAGGTGAAAAAAAAAATTAAATATTTTTAGTGGAATATTAAACAGAAAGAGGTGATGATCAAAAGGGATCAAAGCAAACATGGAAAGTTTGTCTTTGACAGGAGGACATGGGGAGCTCCAAATGGTTTGTATTTACATAAAAGCATTTGCATGGGACTTTTTTTTATGACAGCTTAACACCAGAAGACAACCAAGTTTAAATTCTAAAATTCCAAGGCATCAACCATTCTAAGAAAAATAATTTAAAATAAAAAGAGTTAAAAATCGGGGTGGGAATGTATGAAGTAAATCATTCAAGGGTGTTAGCAATATCGACAGAAAATTTGTGGGTTTTGGATAGAGTGGTGATTTCCCCACTCCTTTTTCTCCTATTTTATCCACTTACACTCCTTTTTTATAACTAAAAAAGGAGTGTAAGTGGATAAAATGGGAGTGGGGAAATCATTGCCCTTTGGATATTGACAAAGATATCGATACTACGATCAATATTTTTTTGGGTCAGATATTAAGATAAATATTTGACTTTGATGAATTTACACCAAAAACGTGTAGAAATGATGGTTCTTAAAAAGTTGAAGATAGATTAGATATTTCATATCATGATTATACTGTCCATATTATGTTTTACTCCTTTTTTTTCCAGTGGAATTTACTAGTTTTAGTGACTAGAATAATATATATATTTTTTTTATATAGGAATTTTGGGTTGACCACTTTAAAAGTGTATGGGAGGAATCTATATGATCTGGATCATCCAGTCTCAGAGTCATTCTCTGTGTCATTGGAAGATGAATAAGATGTTTGAAGGTGCACCAAACACACGAATAGCTAAGTTTGATACACCAAAGGTTTTTAGCAATTGGTATTGTATTTGTATGAAGATGATGTATTGACTTTTCTTCATTTTTGTTTCTTCATGTAGCAATTTTCTGAGTTTTTCTTATATGCACATGAACAGAAAATAGTTGAACTTGAACTTAAGCAGGTCGTCTGTCAGGATTAATTAACATGACATTTCGATTACCTTAATTACACCATGTGGCGGTATTAGGGTCACGCCTTACTGTTATGATTAGGAACTATGAAGTCCAACCATTTTTTTGTTATATAATTTTACCTGAATTATTTCTTATTTTCTTCTGGTGTTTCTGGAATTAATCAATATTCTTGATATTTCCGCTATTTTTCACTGTTTTCTAATTATTCTAGATTTAAGTTTGATGCTTTTGCTCCCTGTATAGACTTTTTAGTTTTGGAAGGGGAACTTTTTGAGATTAATGTTATGAAAGAGAGAGAGAGGTCTCTCACATTATCAAGCACTTTCTGTAAAACAAAGTCTGAACAAAGGGACATAACATAAACTCCTAAACTAATAATAGCTGTCTCTCTCTGTGTGCTACCGGTTACTACCACTGGGAAAACATGGGGTTTCCATCCACATAAGAATCCAAGTCAGCCTCCATGATCTTCTTCAGCAGCAAAGCCGCCTTCTCTCGAGCTCGAGCCGATCCTCTGACTGAAAGATCAGCTATCAAAGTTGAGAAGTCCGGCAGCCTCAAAGCATCTCTCACACAGCCCTCACTTTCCTCAAACAGGAGAAGCAGGATTTCAGCTGCACCCTCCTTGCTCAGCATGCACCTCCCCTTCAACACATCTACCATCTTACTCACAATCTGGTCAGTTTTTCTCAGAGCATTCAATCCTTCATCGAACCTTGCAAGAAGGGCTAGAACGAGAAGAGAAGTTCCAGCTAGATCCTGGCCATCGGTGCTCTCCACCACTTGGATAAGAGCTTGAACAGCTCCTTCTCTCACTGCCAGTGTGCAGTTCCCGTGGAACCGGACAAGCTCGGCTAGAGAGCTAAGGAGGTGATGAGCAGCAGGACAGCGGGGACCGGCAATGGCCTTGACAAGCAACTGGATGGTGCCTGCCACCCCAAACTTGGCCTTGTTCTTGTCAAGCATTGCCAAACTGCAAACCAGAGACGAAGCAACTCTGCCAGAATCTTCTGAGTTCAAGGTGGCAATTATGGAATTCAGGTGGTGAATGGTTTCGATATCTGCAAGAGATTGCTTTAGATCAGGGTTGAGGGAGAGGTTGAAGAGGATGGACAATGAGAGAATCTGAATGATGCCGGAGGAAGATTTTGAGAGGGTAAGTAAGGCAGGGATGGCTCCTTCTGTTAGTGCAAGCAAGTTCCTGTTTAGGGGACTGACCTTGGTGATGGAAACTAGGGTCTGAAGAGCTTTTTGCTCCGCTTCATGAAAGTCTGATGACTGCGCCTCAGAGAGGCACTGCCTGATCACCTCACGAACCCGGGCAGACGACATTGTTTGCAGCACTGGTTTCAGAGTAGGGCTTGGCATGCTTAAAGAGTCTTCAGGGTTGAGGCTTATGCATTCCAACTTACCAAGAAAAATGATTTACCCAAGTTTGAGACTTCAAGACAAAAAAGTAGATGATTCCAATGCTTAGTAGAATAGGGTTCTTGGAATATCTCCAAAATCTTTGGTCTTAGGGGTCCCCATAACAAGCAATTTTGGAGCATTGTATCGAGGATCGAGCTTCACGAGTCCCCAAATACAAAGGACAAAGACAAGCAGCAAATACTAAGCGATCCAATGGGCAATGGCTCTCATCTAATTGGCTGAAAAGAATTTCACATCCAAATTACTCCTCTTTACCCTTCACTTTTTACTGGTATTGCCTTAGAATAGATAAATAGAAAGTAAACGAAGGTATTACGATCAAAATATAGCAATCAAGTTTTTTTTTCTTTTTTTTTTAAATGTAGTCATCGATTATTTGATCTTAAGACACAATTCAAAACTATTGGCGACTCAAAAGAATCGAGTTCTAATGAACAGACCATGAAACCAAAATTATTACCGACTCGAGCCTCGTCGGGCACAATCTCTCAACTAAGCATCACCGGTAAACAAACAAAAAAGAATTATTGAAGCTACACAGTATAAAGACTGCCTCCTCATCACATTAATCAAAATTTTATTTTCGCAAGAAACTTGTTAGCCAGATCAATGATGACCATCTGGAGGACCTCCTGGGCCAACCACTTCCAACTGTAACAAAATTTAAAATAAATTAGAGAAGTCTATTCATTCAAGTTTATCCAGTACTAAGATGTAAAAAAGACTACAAAGTAAACATTTTACCATCCCTCAGATTACAGATAAAGAATAAGGCTCAGTCAGTCACCTTAAAATATTGAGTACAGACAGGGCATTCATGTGGCTTTCCTTTCTCCAGCCAAAACCACACAACATCATGCTCATCTTCTGCAGACATCAATATTCATAAATTACAGTTAGCTCTGTAACTGTTGAATGACTTAGTTGAGAAGGAACGAGAAAAGATGTAACGAAGTTGGAGTACTATACCTCCTCCCTCAATACCAGGGCATCCAACTATTCTTTTGTCATAGTAGGATTTAATTATCGCTGGTGCTTCCTACAAGAAATATAATAGGATTAGTCACATTAGAATGTTGATTGAAGACCACGTATTGTCAGTTTAATGGAAGACATGGTGTACACTTTCTTATCCAATGTGAATTTACACGAGGAAATGAGAGGTAGGATGCATGAAGAGGACTGGTAAGCATGTTTTTAATTACTTGACCAAAGAGACGGGGAATCCCTGAATTATTAGGAATTATCAAGATTAGGTATACATTCAAAAGACTTCCATCCCACCTGCTTGAAACAACCTAAGATCCAGACGATTAGTCCCTTTTTTTCCAACTAAATTAGGTGCTCATGGCAAGTGCATCTCGTATTACGCAGAAGGGGGAAAGTCAGTTAATTATTGGGGAAATGGAGATGAAAGAGACGAAGTACATTGGAGAAGATGTAAACTTATTGTCACCAAAAATAATGTGAAAACTGTGCCACATGCAAGGCATACATCTTTGAATATAAAGAGTGAAAGAAAATTGCTTCTCTGTTTTAAGAAATGCTTCAATTGTATACAAATTTCCACTCATGGTGTCATAGAGCACAGTTATCAAACACACTTGTGAATGAAGTAGCAAGAACATATTAGAAATTCTTGACGTTCTTTCCCACTTTACAGACTAACTATAATGAAAGAAATCCAAACAAAAGCAAGAGTTAAATTAGAACCACTACCTTGGTACCAAAAGGACCAACTGGATAATTGATTTCAAGAACGTTCCTTCCCTGCATACAAACATATAATGAGATCAAACCACCAAATAGCCTATAATTCAGCAACTCTCATATTCTTAAAACGTAAAAAGAAAAAATAGCAATAACAACATTAGTAATCATTAACCTCAAGCTCGGCCGCAAGCTCCTCACGCTCGTGACCCGTTGCAATGGGCATAACATCCTCAACCTTCTTCTTCAAAGCTTGATATCACGAAAAGAACATAATCAACACATTATGTATAAAACTTCCAACTCTTCAGACCACACTGAAGATTAGGGTTTCAATATTAGAAATTCTAAATTTTCTGGTAACGGGCCAGTAGAACCAGGACCTGTTGACCTGTGATTGTACCACAGAGCCAACAGGAGGACAGGCGGCGAGAAATTTTAGATTTTGATTAATAATTTAATCATAATCTTAAGACCCAATTCTACATTTGATTTTCGAAATCCAACAATAACTAATTTTGCCTCGATTCTCCTACATTTTCCCAGTAACCAAACAGACA